CCAGTCCGTTTTCTTTGAGTTTAAAAATGACCTACAGTAGGGTCGGCATGGTTAGTCAGTCGCCGGTACGTTCGCCTCCCACTCATAGGCGGTTGTACCGGTTGCCGCTGATTAACTAAGCAGACCCTTATTTTGGATATTTTTTTATTATCCAAGAAACGTTTCTAGCAACAAAGGGGCAAAGCGAACCACACAAATGCTTAGAAATATGATCGTGGTGCGAGTTGGTTTGGTGCGAGTTGGCATTGGTGCGAGTTAGCATTGGTGCGAGTTGGTCTGGTGCGAGTTGGTATGGTGCGAGTTGGATCGAAATCCATTAAAGGGCAGTGGTTGTCGCACTCCATTCTGTTCGATATGGGACTCATAGCAACGTACACAACGCTTGTAAAATCCCGGGGGGTCACTATATATTAAAACCTTACACCATGTGCGTTCTTGCTAAAAACTAATAGACCCTTAAGGGCTGGCAGCACATTGCCAAACCATACCCCCTATTGCGGGCTACTGTAAATGTAGTACCCCCTAGAGCAGACATGTTGAAGAAAAATAACACCCCCCATTGCAGACGTGTATTGAGAACTTCCTACTCCTATTGCGGGCATTCTCTGCCGTTTTTTTCTCTCAAGTGGGGTGTGATCAACTCAAACAAGCTATGGCCTAGGGTGATGTTTGGGAGTGGTTGTTGCAAGAGGGTGGGCACAGCGGGCGCAGCAACCCTGTGAGTTTATTCCTGGAGGCCTATTGCAGACATTATAATTTTAAAGGGGGCCTATTTGCCTCCCGCGCGGGCCCGCTTTAGAAGGTGAAAAACACCCCCTTTCCCCGCTAAATTTGGAACGCACATGGGGTAGTAACGGCATATAGAGTGACCCCCCCCGGGTGTAAAATACTTTGTGTATTTTAATAAAATTCGAAGACGCGCTGCGCGATGACCACCGTCCTTTAACATATTTCACATAATTGTTGAATAACTTGAATGTGTACTGTGTGAATAACAGTATACTTTGAAGGGGGGGTATGATTTTTCATTAGCTGAATTAATGCTTATTTATCATAAATTTGTTATTTCACATGTATACGAAAAATTGTAATACTTGACGGTGAAATGAATACAACAAGAATGCAATACGCAATGGAGAGCGCCACCAAGTGACAACACAAATGAATGTTGGTCATTGATCTACCATTGTAGAGGTACACACGTATTGGAATTTCTCTAAATCACATATTAAAAATGAGTCAGGAACCTTTTCTACGCCCTTTATTGGCTTTCCATTTCCGTCTTGTTAAAGTCAGTATAACTGATCTATATGTCGGAGATTCATAATATATATTTGTATTCGTTTTATATTGCT